CGGGAAGCCAGTTGGAGTGATCTGTGTCCTGGCAGTGAAGGCTGACAGTAGGGTGCCCAGCCCATGGTGCCGCATGGTCGTGCTTGGGCGTTTATGTGGTGTCAGGGATCACTGACTCAGGATCCTCACACCCACAGTATGCTCTCCAGCCTTTGAGCTGTCTTACTGATTTTTTTTTTTGGGAGGACTCTCAAGCAGTGCTTTCAGAGACCAGGGCTCCCTCCTGGTGATACTCTGCCAGCTGGGCTGGTTGCAGGGGATGCTAAGCTTCTCGGGCCATGTGGTGCCAGACCACCAGGGTTACCACCCCCTCTCCCCTCCAGGGATGTTTGGGAGGCAATATCATGCCAGGGTTCAAGTTCAGGCTGGCTTGCATGCGGCCTTATCTGCTGGGCTATATTTCCTGATCGGGGGAGGACTGGGTCACACCTGATGGTGCTCAGGGCCTGCTTCTGGCCCTGTGCTCTGGTGTCGCTCCTGGCAGTACCCGTATGCCATGCTGGGGATCAAGCACCCTTTGCCAGATGCAAAACAAGAGCCTCTGGCCTCGCTCCAATCTTTTTTTTAAATGGAGTATTGCTATTTATTCAACCATTGATTAGGCTGATTGAATTGGGCATGAACTCCACCTTACTTTTTTTTTTCCATTTTTTTTATAATTTTATTTATTGAATCACCATGAGAGTAGCTACAAAATTTTCAGGTTTAAGTCTCAGTCATACAATGAAACACCTGTTCCTTCACCAGTGCCCATTTTCTACCACCAAAAACCCCAGTATACCTCCCACCCTCCCCCTTCCCCTCCCTGTGGGGCAGATGATTTCCACATTACTCTCTCTCTCTACTTTGATTACATTCAATATTTTGACACCAGACCCACCATTATTATTTGGGATTTTACACTCAGATCTGTTGAAAAGGCAACAGTAGACTATTTGTTTTCTGTTGCTGGTTATGAATAACATATGATGTCGCACAGTGGCAGTAGTGGCCGCAATATTTTGGAATTCTGGGATTTTAACAATTAAATCTGGCAGAACCAGCTGGGTTCCGAGATTTGTTTCTGAGTCTCTGGGATCATGGCCGTTAAGCAGCTTGATCAGGAGCCAGAGAGGCCGTTTGTTGGAAGCGACTCGGGATCTCTTTAGGGCGGGGAGGAAAGGGCCGGCTCCACTCCCCATCCTGTGAGGCCCCACGTGTTTCGTCACTGCAGGCCCAAACCTGACTGTCCAATGGCCTCTGGAGGATGGTGGCCACCAAGCCGCCAAGGGGGAGCAGGCAGAGGGACAGTACCCTTTTCCCCCTTGGGTGGCCCGGCAACAGTAACCTACTGCAGGGACCGGACGCATTTCTGCCAAAAGCCAGTGGGTTCTGAGATTTGTTTGAGTCTCTGGGATCATGGCCATTAAGCAGCTTGATCAGGAGCCAGAGAGGCTGTTCGTGATCTCCCCAATCTTACAGAGGTGTTGGGTGGGGGCGGGGGGGGCGGTGTGGGCCACTTCCAGCAGTTCTCAGGGCTTACTCCTGGCCCTTTGCTCAGGGATCACTGGGTATTGGACTGGGGTTCAGCTGCATGCTGGGCAATCGCCTTAACCTCTGTCCTGTCTCTCCAGCCCCTCCGAGCAAAATTTAACCTAAAGAAACGTAGAGCTGGGGCAGGGAATGTGGCCCAGCTGTTGAGTATGTGCCTGGCACTGTGAGGCACTGTGTGATCCCTTGATCCCTGGCACCACAGACAGAAACATATGGAGCAGTGGGACCTTGCGTGAGTCTCTGGTGTCTTTGATGTGACATCCGAAGCATAAGCAACCAAAGAAAGGGGCTCACTCCGAACTTCCTCAAAAGCCATGTCCCGTGTGCGTGCAGGGACAGAGAGAAGACTGAGATGTGGCCCGCCAGCATAAAGGTAGACGCTGATGCTTAGTTAGCATCATTAGTTGTGTTTTTTTTTTAATTCATTTTTTAAATTGAATCACCATGTCACCTTGAGGTACAGTTACAAAGCTTTCGTGATTGAGTTTCAGTCATAGAGTGTTCCAATACCCATCCCTCCACCAGCGTACATTTCCCGCCACCAATATCCCCCTTATCTTTCCTGCCCCTTCCCCCTCCCCCACGCACATTCACACCTGCCTCCATGGCATCATTTGTTCTTAGAGAAACATGATGCTGAAACCACCCTGAAACGGCTGGGGAAATAGCTCAGCAGGCCCATTCCTCGCTTTGCATCCTGGAGGCCCGGGTACCATCCCTGGTCTCCCAAGCATCACCAGGCGCCACCCCCCGGCACAGACCTGTAGCCCTGTAGACCACTGGGTATGTCCCCAAGACCAATAAAAAAAAAAAACTTGGCAAAACCATTTGCAGTTAAGGAAGGGGGTGGTAATGAAGATAATAAAGATGATAATAAATGTGGCAGGGATGTGGAGATAATAACCGGAACCCTCGTACGCTGGTGGGAATGAGAAATAGTGTGGAGCAGAGGGGAATAGTCTCGCGCTTCCTCAGAAAGTTGGCGATGCAGTTTCCCATATGTGACCCAGCAGGGATCCACCTCGAGAATACCCAGGACAGCTGAAAGCATGTGCTTGCCACTGCTTGTACACGAGTGTTCGTTGCATCATTATCCACGACCGCTCCAGTGGGGACAGTCTAGATGCCCATTGGTCAGGGCACGGGTAAACAAGAGGTGACCTGTCTACAAGGAAGTATAGTGTTCCGAGTGGAATGCTGATAAATCGCACAACAGAGCGAGGCCTTGGAGACAGACCAAGTGAATTGTGCGCAGACCCAGAGGGACCCGTGACATCTACACACAGCTCCGCAGAGCTTAAAGGTGGCTTAGTGTTGCCAGGGTTCGGCGTTGGGATGAGAGAGACACTTGACACAGCATTGGGAGGATGGGATGGGGTGGGGGTAACTATAGGCAGAGGACCTGGCCAGGAGTGACCCCAGGACACAGTAGATTCCCTGCGAGGTCAGACACTGTTCAGATTTGATTCTGAGTGCAAAGGAAAGCCCTGGGGAAGAATTATTTTAGAATTAGGTTATGTAGTTTTGTGAATATGCTTAAACTCATGGGCTGGAGTGATAGCACAGTGGGTAAGGCGTTTGCCTTGCAAGTGGACAACATGGCCAACCCGAGTTCGATTCCTCTACCCCTCTCGGAGACCCTGGCAGGCTACCGAGAGTATCTCGCCTGCACGGCAAAGCCTGGCAAGCTCCCCATGATGTATTTGATATGCCAAACACAGTAACGACAAGTGTCACAATGGAGACGTTACTGGGCCCGCTCGAGAAAAATCGGTGAACAATGGGAGGACAGTGACAGTGTTTAAACTCATGCCATAGAACTTTTTCTTCCCTTTGCTTATTTGGGGGCCCTTTTCAGCAGTTTGGGCAGCCGCCAGGGCTATCAGTGTGGGGAATGGAACCCTGTGCATACCTTGAACCCTTTGAGCTAGCTTCCCTGTCCGTAAGGTATATTTTATGGTCACTGTCATTGTCACTGACCTCCCGTTGTTCATCGATTTGCTTGAGTGGGCCCAGTAATGTCTCCATTGTGACAACTGTTCCTGTGTTTGGCATATTCAAGACGTCACAGGGAGCTAGCCAGGCTTTGCCGTGCGGGCAAGATACTCTGGGTAGCTTACCGGGCTCTCCAAGAGGGGTGGAGGAATCGAACTTGTGTCGGCCATGTTGGCCACTTGCAAGGAAAACGCCCTACCTGCTGTGCTATTGCTCCAGCCCATGTTTTACGGTATGTGAAATTATATGGATTGAAAAGTGGACAGCTTCCTTAACTAGATGTTTCTTCCCTTTTTTTTTTAAATGTGTTATTCTGCTTGAGCAAATTGATGAACAACAGGAGGACGATGTTATTCTGCATTTTAGTTTTAAGTATTAGGAGCAAAGGTCTGGGAGGGAAGGAAGGAGAGAAAAACTTACAAGCTCAGCTCTTTTAGAAAGTGGAATTTCTGGGGCTGGAGTGATAGCACAGTGGGTAGGGTGTTTGCCTTGCACGCGGCCGACCTGGGTTCAATTCCCAGCATCCCATATGGTCCCCCCGAGTGCTGCCAGGATGGATTTCCTTGAGTGCATGAGCCAGGAGTAACCCCTGTGCATCGCCAGGTGTGACCCAGAAAGCGCAAAAAAAAAAAAATTTCTGAGTCCTGATAGATGGTAACAGTTGGGAGGGCATTTCCCTTGCCTGTGGCTGACATGGGTTTGATCCTTGGCATCCCATTACCCCCCCCCCCCCCCAAGCACTGCCAGGAATGATAATAGAGCCCTGAGAATTGCCGGCGTGGCTCCCAAAAAAGCATCTGGAGCAAGAGATGATACTCCAGTGCAGAAATCAGCTCATTCAGAAAAACAAAACAAAAAATTCCCTGCTAGTCCCAGCCCTGGACAGTGCGTTTGGTGGCGGTTTGTTTTCCCTCGTCTCTTTTCTCCAGCAGCACAGGATGAGGTAGAAACCAGAGAAATAGAATCCGTGTGGGGCAGGGGCTTTTTTTTTTTTTTTAACTTGGGGGAACTCGCTCCCCCAGCTGTACTCGGGAGCCACTCATGCTTTGCTCGGCCTCGTGAAAGCTGGGGGCAAGGGTGCCAGGGGTCTCGTGCATGCTAGGCAGTACCACACCCCTTTGTAGCTACTCCCTTGCCTCTGTTTTTCGCCAGCACACCCACACTGTCGTCATCATTCTGGTTCCCTTTGCTACGGGCAGGGATCGTTTGGCCTGAGCTTACGGGACCTTCTCACGCTTGGCTTCAGCTTCCTCTGAGCCGAGGCGTGGAGCTGGGAGGCTGCTGTCTTTAGGCTGTGGTCAGCTGGTATTCATTGTTCCGTTTGCTTAAAATTTGATGTCAGGGGAGAAGACTGGGAGGCGAAGGCATGCTTTGGAAAACAGTTTCACTGTGACGATGATGTGAATCAATTGATGTTGTTATTGAAATGCTTTGTGAGTTTTAATCCTTAAAATAGCGATGTCTCTTCCTAGGACTTAAGATGTCGTCGTTGGTCAGGCTTCACAGAGGACAATATGGAAGACCTTTGGTAACGAAAAGGTACAGTGGAAAGTTCCTTAAGCCTATGTCTCGCACTCATCCGGGGCCCTAAAGAGATGGAACAAGGGACTAGGCAGTATTTGTTTCTTTTATCGAATCACTGTGAGATGGTTCATGATTTGGTTTCAGTCATATAGTGTTCCCGCCATCCCCCCATACACCTGTCTGCCTCTATGGCAGATATTTTCTTCTCTCTCTCTCTTGCATTCTCTCTCTCCTTTTAGGCATTGTGGTTTGCAACACAGGTACTGAAAGGTTGTCATATATATCCCTTCACCTCCTTTCAGCATAGTGGTCCCTTCTCTATCCTACCTGCCTCCCGCCATACACTTGTGTCAGGCTTCCAACGGTGGACCATTTCTCCTGGCCCTTGTTCCTATAGTCCTCGGGTATTATTCTCATACTGTTTTTTATGTCCCACAAATGAGTGCAATCACACTATGTGTGGAACTATTCAGTGTCGATCGAGGACACACCCCTGGCCTTGGAACACAAAACTCAGGTTGTGGGGTGGGGAAGAAAGAAGATCTGACAAATGTGATCCGGGGACAGTGGTGGCGAGTACTGGGCAGTTTTTTGGTGAAGGGGCAGTGACTTTGTACACCAAAAAAACATGAACTTTTAACACTCTGATGGTAATGTTACCTGAACTATAACAATGAAGAATTTAAAATATGATGGTGCTCTGTTGTATATTAGCAGATTAGGTTAACTCATAGATGCGGGTACCTATTTTTAATTTTTTTCTTTTTTCTTTTGGGGTCACACCTGGCGATGCACAGGAGTTACTCCTGGCTTTGCACTCAAGAATTACTCCTGTCTGGGGGACCATATGGGATGCTTGGAATTGAACCTGAGTTGATTACATGCAAAGCAAAACGCTCTACCCTCTGTACTATCACTCCAGCCCTCCATTTTTTTTTTTTTTTTTTGCTTTCTGGGTCACACCTGGCAATGCACAGGGATTATTTCTGGTTCTGCACTCAGGAATTACTCCTGGCGATGCTCAGGAGACCATCTGGGATGCTGGGAATCGAACCTGGGTCAGCCGTCTGCAAGGCAATGCCCTACCCGCTGTGCTATTGCTCCAAGCCCCAAGCCCCCCAATTTTTAATTTTTATTTAGTTTTTTTTTTTGTTCAGGGGCCTACACCTGGTGATGCTCGGGGACTATTATGACTGTGCTTAAGAGTGACTGTGGCAGGACATGGGTACTGTATGCCATGCCTGGGATCAAACAGGAACGTGCCAAAATAGATAGCAAGATTTTGTTTTTGTTTCTGTCTTTGGGCCACACCCAGTGGTGCTCAGGGATGACTCCTGGTGGGGATGGGGGCTCAGTATGGGGTGCCAAGGATGAAAACCAGATTGACCACATGCAATGCCAGCACCCTGCCCATTGTACTATTCTTTGACTCCAAGATTTAATTTTGCCAGTTTTTGCTGATTTTACTTTCAGGTCATAGAATTTTTAAAAAAAACTTTATACCTGGCTAGAGCGATAGTAGAACGGTACAATGCTTGTCTTTCACGCAGTCATCCAGATTCTGCTTCTCATACCCCACATGGTCTCCCTAACCCACCAGCAGTGATCCCCGAGTATGGGGTCGGGGGTAAGCCCTGAGTTCTGTCAGCTGTGGCCCCCAGACAGAATCAAAACAAAATCCTGCATCAGTGTGTGTGTGTGTGTGTGTGTGTGTGTGAGAGAGAGAGAGAGAGAGAGAGAGAGAGAGAGAGAGAGAGAGAGAGAGAACCAGGGGTTACTCCTGGCTCTGCACTCGGGGATTACTCCTGACGATGCTTATGGGACCCATATAGGATGCCAGGGATCCAACCCAGGTAGGCTGCGTGCAAGGCAAAAATGCCCTTCCTGCTGTACTATAACTCTGGGCCTTTTTTTCCATCTTTTCTCATATCAAAAATAGTGTGTGATATATATTCTTTTTTCCCCAATGTGCTTTTTCCCACTGTACTGGTGTTCGACCCCTGTCATTTATTTTTTTTATTTTTATTTTTTGCCTTTTGGATCATACCTGGCAATTTTTGGGGTCACTCCTGGCTCTGCACTCAGGTATTAACTCCTGGCAGTGCTTGGGAGACCCTATAAAATGCCAGGGATTGAACCTGGGTAGGCCACGTGCAAGACCAAAATGCCCTCTCTGCTGTACTGTAACTCTGGGCCATTTTTTCCATCTTTTCTCATATCAAAAGGCCCTCCCGTTGTTCATCGATTTGCTCAAGCGGGCCCAGTAACGTCTCCATTGGAGACTTTGCTGTTACTGTGTCTGGCATATCGAATACATCACGGGGAGCTTGCCAGGCTCTGCCGTGCGGGCGAGATACTCCCGGTAGCTTGCCGGGCTCTCCGAGAGGGGCAGAGGAATCAAACGCGGGTCGGCCATGTTGGCTGCGTGCAAGGCAAACGCCCTACCACTGTGCTATCGCTCCAGCCCCTCATATCAAAAATAGTATACATATATATTTCTTCTTTTTTCCCCATGTGCTTTTCCTTTTTTTTTTTCCTTTTTGGGTCACACCTGGCGATGCACAGGGATTACTCCTGGCTCTACACTCAGAAATTACTCCTGGCAGTGCTCGGGGGACCATATGGGATGCTGGGAATTGAACCCGGGTCGGCTGCGTGCAAGGCAACCGCCCTACCCGCTGTGCTATCACTCCAGCCCCACATGTGCTTTTAAATACTGCATTACCACAGAGAATAAAGAGTATAAACCCTGGACACTGGAGTGATGAATCAGGGGCCGGAGTGCAGGAACTGCCAGGAGTGAGCCCCAAGCGCAGAGCCGGAGCAGGCTGGCTGTCGTCCAGATCCCGCTCTCCCAGAGAAGTGCAAACCCTCCGGGACCCCACCCTTGGGCGCTCGCTGACTGCACCAGCCTTGAAGGAAGAGTTCTGTCGGTGTTCTGTGCTGGTGCTGGCAGAGTCGGCGCTCAGGCAGAACACTCAGCTTCGAACACTCAGCTTCTCCATCCCGCATTGGAGGCAGTCTGAGAATGCATGCGCTTTTCTTTTGAGCGTTGTTATGCCAGCACCCCCTGGAGGGAGTCCACACTCTGTCCCCCTCCGTAGCGGACCCGGGCTGGGTCATCCATCCTGTCCCTGCAGCGCCCGCCTACCTGCAGCTGCAGGATACCCGAAGATGACCAGGAGAGCTCCTGAAGGTGCAGTTTCCTGCTGACCTGAGACCTGGGGTCTAGGTCTCTTGTCTGTCTCACTCCGCAGTCGCTGTGGGTTTTAGTGCCACTCTTGAGTTATACACTGTAGCACTGCACTGTTGCACTGTCCTCCCATTGTTCATCGATTTGCTTGAGCGGGCCCAGTAATGACGTCTCCATTGTGAGACTTGTTACTGTGCTTGGCGTATCGAATATGCCACGGGTAGCTTGCCAGGCTTTGCTGTGTGAACGAGATACTCTCGGTAGCTTGCCAGGCTCTCCAAGAGGGGCGGAGGAATCGAACTTAGGTCGACCGCATGCAGGGCAAATGCCCTACCCGCTCTGTTATCGCTCCTGCCCCTGAGTAATCCAGTTCTTGTTTTTTGCTTTCTGTTTGTTTATTTTGTTTTTTCTTCTTCTTTTTGGGGGGGTCACACCCGGAAATATACAGAGGTTACTCCTGGCTCTGCATTGAGGAATTACTCCTGGCGGTGCTCAGGGGACCATATGGGATGCTGGGAATTGAGCCCGGGTCCACTGCGTGCAAGACAAAAGCCCTACCTGCTGTGCTATTGCTCCAATCCTGAGTATCCAGTTCTTGAGGGAAACTCCTGCTGCCTGCTAAGCCCAGCTTGCACCCGGCATGGGACACGGGCGCTGGTTGCTGGTGGTTGGATTCACAACAGCCTGTCAGCCAAGCCCCTATAGGTGTAAGGTGGACGCCTGACTCCAGTCAGCCCCCGTTGCAGCATTAGGTGAATAAAGGAGCATTTCCTCGCCTTCCCTTTGCACATCTGTGAGCCGGGAAATAATATGCTTGACGTCACAGAGACTAGAGCTGCCTGCCAGAGGAAAAGCCAGGCCCAGCGGTGGTAGACAGAACACCGGACAGCACGGGGACTAGATACCCGCCTTTTTTTTTTTTTTTTTTTTTTTTTTTTGCTTTTTGGGGCATACCCGTTGATGCACAGGGGTTGCTCCTGGCTCTGCACTGAGGAATTACTCCTGGTGGTGCTCAGGGGACCAGATGGGATGCTGGGAATCGAACCCGGGTCGGCCGCGTGCAAGGCAAATGCCCTACCCGCTGTGCTATCGCTCCGTCCCCTAGATGCTTGTTTCAGCCAGATCAGAACACCACAGATTTAGCGTTGGGCAAGAACTTCTCTTACCGCTCTGCTGGTCTGTGGTTTTCGTGGGTCTCACTGGGCTAGAGTCCCGGTGCCAGCTGACTGTTGTTTGCTGGAGAGGCTGTTGGCGAGAGAGCGTTTCCTTGCCTTCTCAGAATGTCGGTTGAATTCAGACCTTGCAGTGAGATCACGCTTCTCCAGACCTGTGACGGGGCTTTCTTCCTCTCCGTAAACTTGCTGGCTCAGCTGCCAGAGGCCATGAGGCTTTCCTTGGCTCGCGACACCTTCTCTTTGTTCAGTGCCAGCCACAGCACAGTGCCACCTCTCTCCTCTTCGGCCCATCTCTCCATGCTGCCAGGCGCTCCTCTGCCTTCAGCGGCTAATGCAGTGAGGTTGTGCCCATCAGAGTACTGTCTGCAGGGGCTGGAGCAATAGGAAAGTGGGGAGGGCGTTTGCCTAGCATATGGCCATCTGGGGTTCAATCCCGGCACCAAATATGGTCCCCTGAGCCCACCAGGAATAATTCCTGAGTGCAGAGCAGGGAGTAATCCCTGAGCACTGAAGGATGTGCCCCCCGCCCCCAATTTAAAAAAGAAAAAAGGGCTGGAGCGATAGTACAGCAGTAAGGGCCTTTATTTTTATTTGCCTTGCATGCAGCTGACCCGGGTGCAATCCCCAGCATCCCATATGGTCTCCCA